CTGTCTGAGGTTCCCATTTAAGTCCCTTTAGAACAGGAAGGCGAGCGGGGGCGTTAATGCAGGAGCAGCTGTAGCTAGTCCGAAAGGTGAACCAAGAGCCCGGTTCAGGGTTTAGGGTTTAGGGTATAGGGTTCAGTTCAGGGTTTAGGGTTCAGGGTTTAGGGCTTAGGGTTTAGGATTCAGGGTTCAGGGTTTAGGGTTCAGGGTTTACGGACTTGGGGAAACCTCAGGGGTTCCACATAAGCCATACACCAGAAAACAAGAAGCCTTCAAGAGCCTTCATGCAATTTGGAAAACTGGGAATGCCTCCTTGTAGGGTTCCTCAGGCGACTCCTCCTCAAATGCCCACAACGAGGGCGGTCTACCCGCTAAGAAACCAGAACTCAAACCACACCAATCGCCGCTCTGAATACACCACCGTCTTTTTTTTTGGGCTCACTGCATATTTTGGATAGTACTTGAGCAGGGGTAACAACACATCCCTGGCCATGCCAACCCTGCACTCAGACGACTGTGAGCCGTCCTGCTCGGAGCAGTAGGGTCGCCTGAGCTGGTACAGGGTCGTCAAGTCAACGGGAGCTCAAAGTTCTACGTCGGTACCTCTTGCAGCTGCGAAATCTGGGACCTCAGGCCGGCTGCAATCTCTCAAGTCTGGCGATGCTACCCCAAACCCCTCTCATTCAAACAGAGCTGTGCCGGAGATTGCCGGAGCATCATCAAGCAAAGATGACACCACGACGCCGCCTACTACAACTACAACTACAACTACTACTGTAGTAGTAGTAGTAGTAGTAGTACTACTACTACTACTACTACCACCACTACTACCACTACCACTACCACCGTACTACGGCGGCGGCGGCGATGACGACTAGTGGCACCACGCACTACCACTCCCACTCTAGTGCAACTACTACTCCGGTTGCCTCTGCTTTTGCTCATATATAGGTGTACTACTCTATTATATAGGGGTATTATTACAAGGGCTATATAGGGCAATATATGTTAACATAAGGGTTATATAGGGATAGTGGAAAAGAAAATGGAAACTACTATATTGGGGGTTATATTGGGGTTCCATTTCCACCAGTACTGGTGTTGGTATTTGTACCAATACATGCACCTGCACTGGCACCAGCAACACCAAGAAGCTGATCCTTTCGCCTTGTTGGCTTGAGCTATCATGCGCTGACATCCTCAAGTACCTCTCTATCACCTTCAACTCAAGATTGTGGGGCCCTCCAGTCTTCTGGTATAATTTCGGGGTGATACGGGTGGTTGCCAAAATTATGGTCCCTTTTTGGGAACCCTGAATATTAGGTGCCGTATTATATTAGGGATCCAAAAGGGGACCATAATTTTGACAACCACCTATATAGGGACAACGGAAATGGAAACTACTATATTGGGGCTATATTGGGGCTACATTTCCACTTGTACTGGCTGTTACAAACAGAAGTCTGGTACTCTGAGGCAATGCTTTTTTGCTGAGTATGTGGCAAGGATGACAAGAAAAAGACAGCCTTGACCTGTTCTATCCGTCAAGTGTTGGCCATACTTCAGGCTCACACAAATTCTAACTTCGGAAGAATAAGCTTGCATATAGCTCCTATAGAATCAGCCTACTACCAAAACTGCAGCTACGGTTGGCTGCAGCAGACCCAAAGCCTCTAAAGCTTCAGTCTTGCTCCAAGATCTAGTTCCTGGTCTGCCGCTGGGTAAGCAATGCAGAATTCTCGGTCCATATCGCGCGCATTTTTTGTGCAAGCTGCCGCTCTCTCAGGACCCCTCCGCACAAGAGGCCTTGGCGTTAAACTTTGTGTTTCCTGGGCCATGCTGCCCGCTCCGTCTCCCAGGGCGCAAGACCAGCTAGATCGGAGAATAGGCTTCCCACTGTTGACCCACTTTGGGTTTAGGCTGGCTTGGGGGATGAACTTTCAAGGATGGATGCAGCTGGCAACCCAACCGACAAACGGCACAGTGCGGGTGTGGTTATGGCAGTTTCCATAAACAAGGGGGGAACCAGTATAGACCCCAAATGCTATCTTCCTTCTCAAAAGGACACACCCCAAAAAAACAAAGGTACCCCTAATTTTGGGAAGCCCTGTTTATCAAGTTTTCTAGGAGAGCAGCAATGGCCATACTCAAGGAGTCCCCGACCCGCTTGTTTGGAGGCAGATACACAACCTTGAATGAAGGGGTCCTAGATGCGGGGATGCAATACATCTAGCAAATCCATAATCCATATATCCCCCAGAGTAACCACCCTACATGTCCCACCCTTAATCACCACAAACTCTTGAAACTCTCTTTGGGCATGATTTGGCCAACTCCATCAAAAACATAATTCTGAGGTCTAAACTTTGACAGGCTCAAAGCCCGAGAGCCCCAGCCCCTCCCCAAGTTCTGCATGTTTCAGCACTAAAAGCCCCAAATCTCCGCATTCCACAGCCCCACAACCCCCCAGCTCGCAATCCCGTAAGTCTGCCAAGGCCCTACAAGCCGAACAGACCCCCTCCCGTAGATCCTGAAACCAATTCCATTTCGCTTTCCATGGTCTTTTTAAACTATCGAGGTAACATCCCGAAAGTAATTCTTTAGTCTTTAAGTAGCCCGAGTATGGGGGAGGATTGTGAAGCTCTAGGCCCTTTTGGGTGCCGTAATGCCGCCACCAGTATCTAAGGTAGCCCACATTGAACTGTGTATCACCCAAATAAAGGGTTCATAATCTCTACAACCCTGATAATACAGCAATGGTCAGAATAATGGAGCCTAAACCCTCAAACCCAATCCCTGCACGGTAAGACGTGCGTAGTAACTTTGGAAACCCTAAGCCTAAACCTTAAACCCTAATCCCTACAGAGCAATAGAAACGTCTACAGCTGTAAGCCCCTAAACCCTAAATCCTAAACCTTAAACCCTAAACCCTTAACCGTGAACCCTAAACCTTAAACCCTGAACCCTAAGCCCCCTTTTCTTGTGGAGTTCAACCTGGGAGTCCATTCATGCAGGCCACGCGCCGCGCGCGGGGGACCACTTTGAGGGACCCTGCATCCCTAATGACATGGTGTAGGGATGTAGGGTATAGGGCCTAAAGACGAATCTCTCAACCGTAACGGGGTTGAGGTTAAGGCTTTTTTTTGTGCATGATGTATACTCTAGTATCCGCATTTACTTTACTACTGTCACATGGCATTTTAGAGGGTAAAGCTTGGGATTTGGGGTTTGAGGGCTTCAAGAAACAGGGGTCGCTTTTTGGGCTTGAGTCTGGATGCTCATGTATTGGGCTGTTCTAGAAGGAGCCCTTGGGTTCGAAAAAACTAGCACATTGCCTAGCTGTAAATGGCCTAAGCCTTAAGCCCTAAACCCTAAACTCGTGAGTAGATGTGCTAACATGTCCCTGCAAGCTTACAGCGGGACCGCCCCCTCGAAGCTCACCCCGCCTGCTCCTCCCCGTAAACTGCAAAAGATCATGCTAAACCCAAAACAGGGCATCACATCTCGGGAAATAAAACAACTGTGAAACCCTAGGGGCCCGATCAAGAGGGGGAGTACTGCCATAAGCAATGACGACCCTGCAGCACCAAAGGACGTTCATAAGTCAAGCAGTTCCGAGGTAACCTATAAAACGGAGTCAAGTAACGTTTAGGGCTTAGGATTTTGTATCGCACCTTTTCCCCAACAAAGGGATTGGGGATTAGGGTTAAGGGTTTAGTGTTTTAAAAGGCGGGATGCATAATCACCTTAAAGCTAAAACTGCTAAGAAGTAGTTGGCTAAACCTTGAACCCTGTATAACTGTATAACCCTAAACCCTGAACCCCCGAGTTATAAGCTTTCAGTAACAGGTCCTATGCTAACTCTCTAGAGGTCGTTCTTGACCCTTGAAATCAATCCAAGGTCCCTCAAACCAGAATATGCAAACTTCTTCGCTCTTCGGGGTTTGCGGGTCCATGGCCTGGTAAATGGTAGAGCCGTCCAAGGTTTAGGGTTAGGGTTTAGGTTTTGGTGTAGGGGGCAATTGCTATGCACACTGAAGGCAACTTGATACCAAGTAGCAAGTAGTAGAAACAGCAGAAGCAGCAACAGCCCCTGCATAGGAGCCGCAGCAGTTTCAGTAGCGCTGGAGGACATGATAGAGTTAGCGAAGCGATGACAACAACGACGGTCAGCATGAAGCAGCCTGCCTTCGTAATGGGGGAATAATACTGAGCCCAATAAAGTATCCAGAAACCTCCCGCTTTGCAATTTTGGCTATGAATTGAGCTTCGTCGGTCAGCTAAGCAATGCAGGACCGTGCGAGGCGCATGTAAGATGATAGTCTACCATGTAATTAATGAAACAAGGCATGATTCCCAGCAAAGTTTCTGATGAACTGCCGGAAGAATGAAATGGACAAGAAAATGGAAAATGAAATGGAAACAGGGGTTTGGGGTTTAGGGCTGCTGTTAAGGAACTTGAATGAAGTTGACCCGAAGTTCCGGAAAAACCCCGAAGCGTGCTAAACAGAATCTGATGCACTTTGGCATGCAAATGCGGCTGCGACTATGAGAACTACCTGCATGACATGCAGGGGAGTTGCCCTTAGGGCAAGGTCCCTTTCATCGTTCTAGCCTTCGACAATGTCCTCCATGATGTACCTGCGTGCTCATTATGTCTTACCGGAACTGCTGAATTCATGTTCTATGACACTATGAAACTCGTTGCGTTCCGTCGTCTGCAGATGCCCGCTCTCACGATCGCTCCACCTTAGAGAAGAAGTATATACCGCCCACACCACTAATACCGAACATGACCCCTTGCGTGGATCGGTTTATTTCCGCAATGCTAGTATTTACTATTTACTCTTTTACTACTACAATTGCTATTGCTATTTATCACTATTATCACATTTACTCTTTACTACATACTACATACTTTTGTTAGTACTCTCACTATCACTAATACCATCAAGTGGTGAGGACCAATACCTGCCCAATGTTTCTAAGTGGGCCCACCTGGCTCAGAAAGAGACCTCGCCATTGGTGATGTTAAACCTGGGGCAGGTTCAAGGTTTAGGTTTGAGGGTTTATGGTCCGCTTTGGTTATTTTTTTTGAACACGCCCACGGCTTAGGGTCTGGGCTTTAGGGTTTAGGGTCTAGGGATTTTATGGGTTAGGTTTTTGTTTAACGCGCCCAGGGTAACCTCATAGTGGAGGCCCACCCACCACTAGCCCCTACTCGCTTTGAGACCTCCTACCATGATATGGATTTGTTGCTCCAAAGAATAAAGCTTGTCCATCTTGGCTGAGGCCCAAATAAATCCTAAGCCCTAAACCCGAAGTCCTAAACCCTAAATCCTAAACTCTAAATTCTAAGCCCTAAAACCTAGGCCCTTAGGCCTCAGGGGAGGGCTTAGAGAATCCTCAGTCGTGTTCATTCACAGGGCCATTCAAGGGTTCAGAGTTTAGGTTTATTGCGTACATGGAATGATGTGGGCTGCAAGTCACGAGGCGCCGGACCCTTTTGAAGGGCACACGTCGCAGTGGATGTGGGCAATGCGTGCAAGGAGGCACCCAAAGCGGACTTAGGGCCCCTTAATAAGAGGTTACCGGGACGTGTATGTATGCATGTAAAAAGGGATTTCTTTTTGCAAGGCGGTGCACAGGGCTTAGGGCCTAGGGTTTAGTGCTAGGGGGTGGGGTTAGTATGCGGCTTAGAGAGGGGCTATAAGTATACTTGCTATGCCCACCTGACCCCCAGGTGAAGAACTTCCAAAGAAGAATGCCTGTTGTTTTCTCTATGCATGGACTGTCGCATAACTACCAAGCACCCCTGAGCTCTTTCCTAGTTATGATTCGTCACCCGCGGCGCTGTCGTTGCCACTATCTTTAACCAATTAGTCTTAGCATTCTGGCTCGAATCACAGGCAGCATTATCCATCTGAGATTGCTCTTGCGTTCTTACTCTTACAGGTACGAAAAGGCTTTGGTTCTAAAAAGCGAGTTGTTTTAGAAATGTTGGCATATGTAAAATCGCTTACTTCATTTGATAAATGGGCCTGTGGATGCATCAGGGGACCCCACCAAGACGCTTTCTTAAAACCTCCTCGTGGGAGCGCCTCTAGAAGCCACTTCGTGAACGCCTTTGTCCGTGCCTGTATAGTCCCACTTAAGTAGATAGAATCTGGCTTTGCGTATATTGTAACAAGACCCCCATATACCCCATATTCTATCTACTTAAGGGGGGCTATACATCCAGCTTGCCCAGCGGCATTCCCTACGTGGGAAATCAATGAGTCGTGGAGACTTAGAAGCTTTCGATAAGCTCTACTGTCCTTTACTTACAACCGACCAAATCCCGTAGCAAATGTGCGCCAGGGTTCTGTTCCGTAGCCCGGATGTCCCGACTCCTTGCATGGACAGAAGCTTGGGCTCTTTGCCACCCTGCTTCAGGGTGTAACCGCACAAAGAAAGAACCCCAACATTATTCATTCTGGGTACCTTCCTTAACAAACTCATTGCTGGGACCCTGAGAGGGAACCCAATAATATAGTAGGAATATGATATTAACATACATGCGAGGGTCCTTCTAATCCTTTTACATTCCTACTGTATTGTTTGCGTTCCTTGTTTGGTGCCCCCCATCAGAGTCCTGCTACCCTAAGAAACCAGGAAGGAAGGCCCAAGTCAGGGCTCAGTTTTATTATAGCCGGAGAATGGGGAAGGTTTTGGGCGGTAGTTTTCTTGGGATCTGGTTTGCGAATTTCGGGTTTGGTGGCAGGCCGTTCACTATTGAGTCTATTGAGGGTTCCTGATTTCTGACAAAGAGGGATACCCTTCAAAGGGGGAGCAGAGAGTGTAAAGACTCACCCTAAACCCTAAACCCTAAACCCAGACCCCTGGAAGGATCTAGAAAGTAGAACCCCCAATATGGTACCCTATACTACTATTGGGTAATTCCTAGGACCCCTTAAGGGGGGTTTAGGGTAGGTCAGGCCTGACTAACGATGATGATTTTCAGGCGTTG